GAGTCAAAAGCCGCTTCCAGATCTAGGAAGAAAGAGATGGTGGGCCTACGAAAAGAATGCCGGTGCTCCAGAATTTGGAGTAGAGTGAAGATGTGGTCGATACAACCTCGACCGGATCTAAAACTAGCCTGGTTCTCACGCGTGCACCGTTCGCGGGCGGCAGACAGTCGGCAGAATATGATGCCAGCAAGAAGTTTAGAGACGATGTTAATTAAACTAATTCCTTTATGATTTTCACAAGAGGATCTATCACCTTTCTTGTAAATCGGTATGATCACCGATTCACACCATTCAGCTGGAACCTTCTCTCTTTCCCATATTGAGCCCAGGAGTTTTGTCAACTCCAAGACTAACGCTGAGCCTCCATCCTTAAATGCTGATGGGAACAGCCCATCTGGGCCAGAGGCCTTATGCCTTTTGAAATAACTTATTTCCTGAGATACCTCCATTTCAGGCGGTTATCTGTAAAGATTAAGTATATGCTGCGGCAATTCGGCCAGTGCGACTCTACCGTGCAGAGACCTGACCACTACGGGAACAGGATAAAGATAGACTGTCGGTGTTCGAACACCGCTGTCTACGTCGCATTGCACGAGTCTGGAAGGGAAACAGGATGAGTAATGTTGTGGTTAGATGCAGAGTTTTAGGTAACCGCGGTCGCCCATTGGAGCAAGTGGTCGATCTTCATAGATTACGCTGTTTGGGACATGTGTCATGCATGTCACCCAATAGGTTACCACGGCGAGCGATGTTTGCCAGGGCAGGATTGGGTTACATTGATCCCGTTAGGCTCCCTGGCTGGGGACCCCGAGATGATGGTAACCGATGGTTAGAGACACTGAGTGATTTGGCTGGGTGTCGCCAACAGTGGCGTTCATGCATCTACTCATTATTCTTGTAAATTCAGTCTATATGTATTCCCCATCTTCCTCTTGAACTTGCTTTCAACATTCCAATCTTCATTCTGCTCTATCCAAAAAGGGGACCAAAAGACAGCAACCAAAACCAGCGCACGAAAGTGCATAGTTAATGGTTCTAAGAATTGAACTGAACCAGTGGAATAGCTCTCATGTCTTGTTCTTTGTCTGTTGTTTGCCGAGTTCGTTTGATGACGCGATGAGTGTGGGTTTCGTGGGCTAATTCTCGTTCTTTTTTATTGTCAGTATTGGAACGAATTAAGATAGATGAACACCTGGAATACGGGCACGACTGGTCTGACACAAGTTTGACTGAAGTCTCTCACTCTCTATGTAGCCATCAAGTGAATCCACTGTGACCGTAGATGTTTACGCGGGATACACTCAAACTAGCTTCCTCACTCTATAAGCTGCAATATTTCCGAAAATCGGTGCACTATTCTTACCATTTGTCAAATTGTGAAAAAAACCCAGAATGATATTTCTCCAAAGCACCGAAAGAAAATGAATTGAATTTCGCTTTGACAAAATTATCGCTTCCGTTTAGACTCTAGACTCATTTGAACCTATTTGGTATAGGCTACATCGATTTACGGCAGCAACTTCAACTGTGCAATAGTTCAGTGTACGTTGCCTGTGTACCTGGACATCAGGTGACGGTTTGTGTACATCTTTGACCCCTTTTTCAGTTCAGAACATCCCTTTGTACAACTCTTTGATTCCTCGTCAAAGGTCGTATCTTCATCAAGCTCCTTACACCACCGTATAAATTGCTCCCTATGAAGCCTAGTTGACCGCTGATTCTGTGGGCATTCAAAACGGAAACAGATTGACCAGCAGGCTTATCATGCATGTACAGTGAGCTCCTCGGTGATCATAGTTTGCTGTGTGTCAGAGACGCCAATTTAGGACAGCTAGGTGTATAGATCACTTGAATGCGCCGAGATTGCACTCAAAGTATTTCCTTGGCACATCAGGAGAAGATGAAGCCAATGGTAAGCTTGCAGCATATGTTTGTGATTATAGGGTTCGCCCCGTCTGATGTACATCACACTTAGGTGTAATAAAAAAAGGAAACGTAGTGAACGACAAAGCTTTAGACTCATTGATAGACTGGATTCTCGTCCGAGGTTATTTGCACGTGATGAGACTCCCGGGTTCACAGTCAGTATTCGGAAGGAATCAAACACCAAAAGATGTTTGTTCGTCATTCCTGTTTATGCGCCAATCAACTGTCATCTCAATGCATGAAAAGGACGAATCTCATGACAAAACAATTACCCAACTCATCCGGCTGAGTCGGAGAGCTCCGATATATCATTGTGCTAGCGTTTGAGCTTAACACGCAGCTTGGAAAACTGAGCACATGGGAAACAGGTCTCGACGGGTAAAGGTCCAACGAAAAGACAACGGCGATCGACCAGCTCAGTCTTGCACAGATCATCGGTTGTTCTCACCTAGAATAGCATCAACCTCCAGCACAAGCCTTGACGGCAACATGGTATTCCGGTTCACTGAGCAGCCGCGTGCAAATTTTTTTCTATTGCACACCAGTTTGTGATGAATAGTAGTTGGGATTGACACCATCGTCAAGAAGACCTACTGTTCAGTGATAGTAACCAGCAACCTAATCCCCAGGACTTGAAGTAGCGTACCACCACGATAGGTTAGGCGTGGTATTGAACCGGACGACAGCAGAGCTGTCTACCGCCAAAGTTGGGTGGTGGTGGTGGGGTTCGAACCTCAGACCACAGGGTCGAAAGCACGACGGTGACAGCGACTAAACCACTACGCCACGACCTAACAGTTGTGAGCTAACGTTAGCGTGGCTCCTCAGCACAAGATTGCACATCCTATCAAACCACATGAATTGCATCATGTGATCATTGATGGCATTTGTGGTCACCTTGAAAGGGATGTAAATGAGTCACCAGAGTTCACCACTGGCGATGGTGTCCTGGACGAGACTTATCGATACCTAGCGATTGAGAATCAATGTATTTTGCTAGATAGAACTCAGCACATATGAGGCAAATGGACGATACAAAATATCCAGGGGCACGGACGTTGATTTCAGCGACAACTTCAAGGTCACTGCTGCTAGCGGCGTGATCACAAAAATACCGATACTATGGGGTCACATGAGGGTCGATAACATAGGTTTGTCAAATGAAGTCACTGCACACTGACCGAATGCTACACCATAATGAAGTCGCAGGGATGAATCGAAAACACATCGTACAGCGGAGAGGTTCAGATGAAGAAAGTCCGAGCGACTAAAATAGGAATTCGTTTCAGCAAAAGATTTCCCTTCGTTTCCTCGAAATGATAATTAGTATTCACATTCTACCAAATGGTGATGACTATTTTTTTTTGTTTCAACACGTAATCAATTACACAGAACTGGGGAATGTGCCACAACATATGAACAAAAAATCTGTAGAACGTGTTCATAGGTTGAGTTTAGTTCAGTTCAGTTCAGTTTGTACAAACATTAACGATGCACTTCCATGCGCCGGTTTTGATTGTTGTCTTTTGACAGCCCATTTGGATGAACAGTAGGAGAAGAAAGGAGGGTCGAGAGTAGAGTCGAATAGAAAATAGAGAAGTTCAGTGGACTAATGTTGCAAAGAAATTGAGAAGATGCATGAACGCCACTTTTTACGACACTCAGCTACATCACTTAGTGCCTGTAACCATCGATTGCGATCATCCAGAGGTACCCAGCCAGGGAGCTTAGCAGGACATATGTGACTCAGTCTCCCGGCTAGGGTTTTGATACCCTCGTGCCAGGTTTTAGCTTCACCGCCCTTCACCTGTTTCGGCAAACATCGCTCGCCGTGGCAACCTATTTGATGACATGCTTGACACATGGCCCAGACAACGTATTCCATGAGGGCCGATCACTTGCTCCAATGGGCGACCGCGGTTACCTAAAACTATGCGCCTAACCTCAGCATAACATCGGGTTCTCCACCAGATTCGTGCAATGTTGCGTGGGTTGTGTGGGCATGTTACTTCCCTGACCGAGGAAGGGCGCTTAACCTCGCGGTCCACACCCGAAGCCTTCGGCTAGAAAGCCAGACGTGCAAGACAACAGGACGGAGCTCAGAATCCGCAATTCATTGGGGGGCGGGTGTCCAATTCATCGGATCGTACGCCCTTTGGAAGTGGCCAAACCAGGAATGTGTCGTCCGTGCGCTTCCTATTGTTTAGTTTGGAATCAGAGTTTTTAGCCAACTCCCTTAGGTGAACTGCCAATGATTAACCAACCCGGTTATGGCCCCGTGTACCGACATTTTGTCTTTTCACTTGGATGAGAAAACACCTGCACCACGAGAAGGCAATGATTAGGCCTTCCTCAGCGAAGGTTATTTTGAGACACGTGGTCATGTAGGAGCATTTCACAAGGGATAAGGGAATGATGACCGGTCACAACCCGAGACACCCACCCCCGACCATACACTGAGGCTTTCTGTGGTGATAGTGCGCACAGTTGTGAACATATTGCAAACAAACAAGGGATGGGAGTGAGGATGCAATAATTTTCTCATGGGTCTGGAAGAACGTTCGAACAGTTTATGCGAGAAAATACAGTTCAACATTATCAATTTTCGTGGTACGACTCATTTTTACCGGGCCGACTTAGGTGTACATCATCCCTGTATGTGTGTGTGTGTGTATCACGTATTCGATCCACATGCGCGCAGATCAAAAGTCCTTTGATAAAGCGGAGTGAAAATTTTTCGTGGGGTGCTTGGTATCATAGTTTTACTTATTTTACTCAGTTCATAGCGGGAACAAGGAGGTAAAACTATAACTTTGGGTGAAAGTATGAAAAACTTGACTACAGGGATTGATTAACCGATTTATCTGATATCTCGATTGCGGACCTAAAAACGTATCCGGCATATGGTTACAAATATTAGATGATATAATTGAGATTTGTTTTAATCCAGGCTGTAAAACTGCAAAGTTACTGAGAATGAAAACGAAAAAAAACAAAACTAAATTTTGATTATTCATCGAGTTAAGGGTTCGCTCAAATGTGTTTTCATTGGTGAAGACGCGATCTGATAGGGAAAAAAGCAATAAATATAAGCAATTTGCTTTTTCCGAGGTGCGTGAAGAAAGTTGCATGCTGCGTCGGGGGATGCTCGGACGGGAAATCGGAATAGTTTATGCAAAAGGTGGAAACAGTGAGCATATCTGTGATAATATACGTCACCAGCAACTTCATTTGCTGTCATCGGTGTGTGTTTGGACCCTAGTGTTCGACCCTAGAGTTTCGAAACCAACCACTAACGCCACTCAAGTTTGGTAGTGGGTGGTAGCTAGGCGGTCGTCCGGCCCAATACCAGCGTAACCTAGTGGAACTTGATGCGGTTTGGCATTGTGAATCTCAGGGCTTACGAGTCTCCAGGTTTATCCCCTGTAATGCGCATCAGACAAGGTAGTGTAATAAAAACAGGTCCTTGATTTGACTCAATAAAACATGTAGTGGATTCAACGGTTGAGCTGAAATTTGGCGATATAGAAAACAACACCGTAAATACACCGTGAATAAAGGAAGGGTATTACGGTTAGGTTAATCCCATATTGAACCTCGGCAAATAAAAAGAGAAACAAATCAACCGAACGAAAACACGTGACACTGAAATATAGGCTTGGTGCCTACAGAAATTATTACAATACAATACAATACTTACACCGGAACCATGGACCGAGGAAAATGCGACTGATTGGGATGTGGAAGGCGAAGGTGCAAGTGCTATCGGGAGCGAAGCGGGGGAGGAAATTCTTTGGCTTGTAGATTCCACACACTGATCAGAGGAGCGCGGTAGACTGCGCCAATCCGGACGTGGGTCGGTCGATCCCAAACCGGGTACACAAAACGACTCGAACGTGTCTAGACTTCGTCGTTCAACTGGTGGTGCTAACGATTGCGGTCTTGACGGGGGAGATGAGGTCTCAAAGGTTGTGCTTGAAAAATGCTGTTGTGCTGCTGCCACTGAAAGTGATATCGGAGCCGGTAGCGATGACCAAGCGGCCTCGTCCGTTGCGCGGGGCAGTTCACCATGACCAAATATCCGTCGGAACCCATCAGACGGATGAACTTGGACAGGCATTGGTCGAGACACGGGGTCGAGGATTTCATCCGGGGCCAGAGATGAGGCTAATGCAGACGACTCGAACTCGGGTACCGGAGAGACAAGGGCTGCGGTCAAAGCATCCATCGCAACGGAATGGGTTGCCATAGTGACCGCTTCGGGTGTATCACCGAGTGAACTGGTTGTGGGAGTGCCAACCGGGGAGCGAGAGTCCGTAGGACGCCGACTGGAATTGAGCGACACTAGCAGGTCGACAGCTTCATTCAAGGTGCACATAGCGACTTGATGAATTGGTTCCGTAGCTGAGGCCGTTTGTCCTAGAAGTGAATCGAAAAAAAGAATGAGATCAGGCATACAGAAAGGATAAAACCCACACTTGGCTGATACATAACCAATTTGCCGACTACGAATAGTGTTTGCGCAAGTAATTGGTGGATACTGTTGACTGAAACAATCTCAACCGATCCGTTTCCCTCTTCATTTGTAGTAAGACTTCCACAGAAATCTAGTATCTTTTTCAATTGCGAACAGAATCGTATGACGGCGAAAACAGATTTATCAAGCCAAAGCATCTCTACGCTTTGTATTCAAACAGGAGTTGCGCGGGAGTACCGTCCAAGACTGTAAAATCTACCAACAATGTTGCCCAAATCAGGACTTCGGCACGGCGACTAGCCACCGTGGGGAGTTACCGGGTTGAAGGGCTGATGTGGGCTACACTCATGTTCAAGTCACTTCCCATGACATTGAAAGAACAAATTTATCCAAGTAACCCAGTACAAGCCATGGCCGACCACGGCGCGATAAAAGAGGTTTATTGATTACAGAGAAATCCAGAATTGATAGCTTTTGTGAGACCATGGTAAGCACATGTGAGATGGCCAGACGGTGCGATAGGTCCTGATCACATAGTGGTTCGATGTTTGAAGCGAAAACAGCTAAAATCCAGTCATAGACGGATTGGACATCGGAAAAATCTCTCGGGGAAAGGTAAAGGTAGAATGCTACGTATGGCTTCAAACTCCGTGAGTCATGCATACATCGGAGATGAAAATGGTGCTTGAGTTGAACAGTTCTGTACGATCGGTACAATAAACACTTGAAAGGGTCCTTTGGATGAAATACAAGAAAAAATAAGAGATATGACTCTAACAACTTTACAAACAGAAAGATTTATTACGAAATAATACTAAGGTGACTTGGAATTTCATATAATTTAGCGATGAAAAAAAATTTAATGTGGATAGACTCAACGAGTGGAACTAATACTGGTATGATCTGTGGTAAGTGTGGCACTTGAGTGGGCGGACTAGCGATCGAAACTCTGAACTCAATACATACTGCGTAGAATGCAAGAATATGATGTAATAGATCGGCACCTTAAGCTAACAATGGCCTCGAATGAAGCGTTACACTCTCACTCAAATTTTCACTATGGGCAAGTTACAAGGTTCAAGTTTCTGGAATTCCATAGGATCAGTACACACCGGTTTCGGATGGTAATACAGAAGCGATCACGTTTATTCATTGGTGTAGTTAGGTATTTCAATGACTCATCGAGCTGCGACCTGGACAGTAAATGGTAGGAGAACAAACTTGGGATGAAAAACAGTCCCAGGCTGTATGCTATCCGGCTCTATTAGAGCAATAGTTTAGAGTAACTTGCCATGAAATGATTAATCTTGGATAGTATTAGCAGGGTACTCTACAGAAGAGGGAGGTGGTTAGATTGATGCAGTATTTATTGTACAAGGATCATATCTCCCCTCCCCCTCTAGGTTGCGGTCTTTGTAACCCTTCCACTATTTTGGTTGCTGTTCTCTGTGGATGTTCGTCTATGGTGCCCTATTTCGCAATTCCTGCCCAATTTCGTCGTAGACGAGATACTGGAGAACGCACTAAGTGCTCATCAAAATGTTGGTACTGATTAGCTTGGAGAAAAGCCGTGCGATTTAGAGTAAGCTGACGACCTTCGTTGTGTTCGATAGTATGGAGGATGCGCAAAAAGCCCCTGACGGACTTTCAAGTTGTGCAATTTCATTTGGTATGCGTTTTGCACCTTCCAAGTGAAAAATAATGCCCTGATGATTGATTGTCAAAAATTAGTTATGGTAAACTGTTTCTCCTACTTGGGTGACTGCCTGACTATTGACAGTAGAGTAGTCAACCAAGTAACCGCCCACATTTTCAAGGCTCGCGCAGTGCTGAAACACTTTTGGTGCAAACGTGATGCTTTCTTGAAACTGGAAGGTCGCATGTGAGCACTTCTACTTTCCGGTTACGAGACCTTAAACATGCGCGTGGAAGATATTCATCGTCTAGAAATCTTCGACCGCCGATGTTTACCTAGTTTGGTAAGGGTTGGATGGCGCGAGCTTGAACGCGACTCTAGGGTAAGCCATCGTGTACTTGATTATGATTCGGTGAAGGATCCGTTGTCACATTGAATTCAGATTAGCCGGTTAGGCTGGTTCAGGTACGTACTGCACATGCCCAGCTGTCATCTGTCGCATCGCGCTTTATTCGCTGCAGCCGCTCTGGGCTGGACCAAACCCCCTGGAGGTGAAACAGATGACATGGAGAAGAGACATGAATAAATCTACACAGCAATTAAGTAGAGTAGGTATCTCTCATCTTCCAGGTTGGGGTCTAAAAATTTTTCCATGTGGTTGGTTGGAAGCACTGAAGGATGAGGCAATCGACCGACCGTTGTTTTTGGTTTTTCTAAGCAGGTCAGATGTTTGAAAAGGTGTGTGCTCACTATATGCACTATATGCAATGCGAATAGACGATGCGATGCTTTTTGTCACCCGGCCATTGGGCCATGTCTTGCTCAAACTAGTCTCGTTCCGGAATGCGGCACTCCGAAGTACGAGGGAAAATGAGAGGGGGGCTATAGTTTTTCAGTTTACTGTTTAATATAAATGATCCGGTGCGGTGATAACCAGCGGAAATCAACAAGACAAAAGACAAGAGCCGGGAAACGATGAGATGTGATTGGATGGGTAAGCAAATCGAACAGAATTAAAAAAATATTCAAAGCGGGATAAAAATTAGCATAGATTGTTCCTGGGTGAAAGTGATTTAAAAGATCATTTCCTATCTCTGATCCTCTGAATATGGATACCGCTCAAACCGCAAGAACACGAATAGAAATTCAGCTTATCCTTTATCACTAGTACTTGATATATTTGTGTACAATTTTTCTGGAACCGTTTGGATATCATTGTACGGCATTATTAATTCCTTGTGACGACCAGGGTGCATTGTTTGTCACAAATCTGAGCGCTTTTACCGGCCAGGACCGTTCTGATGTGAATTTAGACGGTACGGTTTGTGACACAGACTAGAATCACATCACTGCATAAATACCATCTGATCTGATTACAGAATCCAACGGAGGACAAGTCTATGATGGATGAATCATTTCACATGGGTTTTTGACTTTCACGATGATGTATGGTAGAGCCACTAAAAGAACACACTGAGGATAGATTTGTTCGATCAGCGGGGCGGGGATTATCGAATCATTCCCAAACGGATCGCTTTGTTCATGTGATCATTTTCAAAGGACTCACAGAACAATCAATCACGAACAATGTATCACGAATAAATTCAACTTACGACTTGCAACCAACGCCTCAGCCCATTGAAGAATACCTCGAATTGCATAGGTAAGCACATTGGTCGAACTGGTCGGAGGCCCCGAAGCCGAAGTTCCTAATTCGACCTCGGATATGCCATCCGAGGCGATGGAATCGACCGGCGACTGAACGCAGCAGGGCATACCAAGAAGCTGTTGTTGTCGCGGTGAAGACAGCGCTATGGAGGAAGATGAGGATGACGATGCGATTGTTGACGATGTTGTCCTGGTCATCGTCGTTAGTGATGTTTGCATGCCAAAACTAGGTGCGCTCGGATGATAACGATGCGGTGGTAACACGAGTGGAATCCATTCGTCTCCTTCCTCCGCTCCAAGTAGAGCATGCGATGGTGAGTTCAGAATAGTATTGGTCGTAGTCGCTGCTCGAGTCAGAGGGAATGAACAACCAGCGTCACCACCAGCACCACCAGCATCGACAGAAATGGCGTTGGGAGCGATTGAAACAGAGTGAGAAGTCGGGTCCGCGTCTGCGTGATGAGTTTCGGCTAGCTCACAGCACTCGTCCAACTGAGAAGAGATACCGGGTTCCATCTGCATAGGTGGCAATGTTCCAGTGACCGGCGATAGTGTAAATGACACCGGGGAAGTAGACGGTAGTCCGGAATATGAGGGTGGCGGTTCACCTGAAGGTCCTTCATCAGTAGAGATCCTGTTTACGTAAAATAGGAAAGTAGTTCTGAGTGAGACTGACGACATTGAGAAACAAAACGCTAGGCAAACATCGGCCTGATCACTGATGAATGAAGTTAATTACACGACGTAGTTGAGTAAAAACAAAAGAAACTGGAGCTACGGAAATAGAAAGATATATCGTGGTATGGCACTATTGTACTCGTCATCACTATCCGGAAAGTGTATCTGTCCCGTGGTTACTACGTTTTATCACACCTAATTTCAGTCGCGGCCAGATATTCTAGATAAGTCTTCAGCAACATTTTGTACATAGATAGCCATTTGGCATGAAGTTCGTAAGGTTCACGGTTGTTTGTTTTTCTAGAAGACAAAGAAGCGGGATATAATAAAGAATCGAGGAAAAAAAACAGTTGACGATGAGTACACATGAGAGAAATGAAAGGTACGATCGAGCAGGGATAGAAACGACTAGACCACTAACATGTATTTGCAAATAAGTGGTGAGGAGAAAGCGGTCGATGAGTGCCACGTAACAAGACATCAGGTACACATGAACAGGTCGGAGAAACTAACAGGAGAGAATCCTAATTCTTCATTTCCATTTTATTCTTTTTCATTGAATACACAAACAAAAAACACCTGACTAATAGAGGATTTCATTTCATTTAAAAAAAAAAGAATTTGTTGTGTACAGAGCAAATTCAGCGTGAATCGAAAAGCTAGGAAGCACTGTACAGTAGTTTCGACCTGGTTGGATCGCATCAGCAACAATGCGAATCCATTGATTCAACTGGGGATCGAACCCGGAACCTTAAAGGCAATTAGTTAAACAATTCTAGCGTAGGGGGCTGGGAATGAAAAGGGCTGACATATTACAGTTTGGATGCGAAAACACATGCGCGATTGTTTTGAAAATAATGGTCCGCATTTGAGTCAGCATCTTTTGTATGCTCGGTACTCGAACCATCGATTAGAATGGCATAACACAACAATTGCATTTATTTGTCGGGTGAAAATTTAGCAACAACACAACGAAATAATTTGTGGTCAGCTCAATGCAAGACACAAGTAAGACCTGCAGGGCATTTTTTTTCTAAGGGATTTCAGCGCAGCAAATCTTTGCGCACAAACTGCATGTCCACTGGCACAGCGAAGGTCTACGGTGGTGTGGTGCGGCAAGAGAGAGACTCAGTGGGTAGATAAGATACAAATAAAGAGAATTGTAGACTTGGTACAGAGGATATCTTATTTTCCCCTCCCAGACCATTAAATCGATCGATTCGAACTTCGCCGTGAAAGGACGAGGATCATTTTTCAATACCAGATAATCACGGAGAGTATAGTGGGACCGTGATAAAACTCACCCCATAGTTATCGGCTAGCTATGTGATCACC